GTTTAGATACCTAAGAGGCCATTGGTGTCCCAAAGGAAGAAATAAAGGACATGGTCTAGATACTTGAAAGAAAACACTCAAAATTGATTGAGTATCAGACTTAAGGAGAAAATATGCCAATAAGAAAATGCATCTCTCAGGATTAAATTCAGCATTTGTTACTTAATAGCATTTGTCATCTTCCAAATTTTCATATGTAGCAAATTAACTTCAAGTCATTTTGCTCTTCCAAGTGTCTTTGTGTATTGTATTTCTTTTTTTTTCATATTCTTTTGGATAACATTTGGGAAAAAATAAGACTACAACAGTCAATGATTACATTCAGGCTGGAAGACAGTCATAAGACCAAGGAACAGGTGGAGTGTGTGTGCTGGGAATATTCACTTTTTGTGCCACCATTTTGTAGTTGTTAAAAAAAATAGCAAATGGTGGATATTGTTTCTTTACAAAAAATGGTTCTGTACTGGATCCATCTGCGAAGTATAAACATGTCATCAGCACTCATTTTCCATCTCCAAAAAACATTCTCCATGTCCATATTTGATTTTCAAGTGCATCTGTGCACCGATGGAAACCCTCCCAACAGGCTGCCACACAATTGCAAAACCCACACATTTCTGTCTTTGAGTCAGACTTTCACAAGAGCCTGGCCTCCCATGGGTATAAGCTTGTTTCCAAGTTGCAAAGGGCCCTGGGTGATCCCAATCAATGTCCATGGTAAGGCTAAGTTATTCTTTTTAAAGAGGTGATATTATCCATAACTTTTTTGCTACTTTATTCAAAATGTGTGTGTGTGTGTGTGTGTGTGTGTGTGTCCTAGGAGTTTTCTTTAGATCATATTGTATTTCCCTAATTATCGAACTTAAACTCTTGAGTTTCTCAATGACTAAACTCCTATTTGAGAAAGAATGCAAAGATCTCAATATTAGTTTGGTTATCCAAAAAGCATTAGAAGAAAGAGCAGGGGAGAGCATTTCAGAAATGTGAAAGACAAGCACCCCGGGCCCTAGGAGCCCCTAACATTATTGATGGTCACAAACCCTGAAAGAATTGAAAACATTACTGAAGAATTTCTTCTCTTCACGAACCCACATTCAGGAGTGAACCCCGTGCTACAGAAAGATTTTATTTTACCTCATTATTTCTCCTGCACAGTATGAGGGGTACCTTCAGCACAGAGCAAGGAGTAAGCCTTGCTTGTCATTTTTAATCAGGTTGTTTTAGGTAATTTTTGTTATGCCCCTCATTACTGAATTGTTGATCAATAGGTGCAGCGAGTGTCACTAGCTTTTCTCATCAAACCAGGTCTGACAAAGCAGCGCATGCATGGGAAAGAGGCAGCTAGGTGAAACTAATGCTGTAGATGTTTGATTCATTAGGAGCTTATTGTTAACGGGGTTGTCTGATTGTAAAGGCTCAGTCAAGCAAAAGAGTGCAGAGTAATCAGTCGGATTTATAGTTTGCAGGGCTCAGAAAAAAAATCAACATAAACCTTTGGATAGAGCAGAGACAGAAAAATCCCCTTTGGGCAGGCCTAACCTGGAACCAGCCAAATAAGGTCATGCTACATGAAGGTTTCCTGTTAGGTGATGGGAGATAGAGGCGGATTAGAGCCATATGGCATGGCCTATCATACCTTCTGACTTAAGATAACAAAGCCAAGCTTTGTGCTTAGCTGGTTTTGACTGACATCATCAATTTTATTTTATGTTGGTCACCTCCGGTAACAGGAAAAAATGGCCTAGGGTTGATAACACATGCTTTTCCCCCCTCTTCTTTTGCTTTTAGTATTAAGATGCCTAGAAGCTAGTTTTGTGCTGTTAAAAATTTCAAAGAATTAGTAGCTTCCCTTTCTATCACCCATCCTCCAGCAACTGTCAGGCCCCTCCCCCTTGTTTTCAGTTTGTACCTTGCAAATGAGAGGCAGCCGCATTCAGAACCAGATGCGAGGCTCCTAGAGAATGAGCATAAGCTGGTGTACTTTAAGCCTAATGGGAAGTTTTATATGCAAGGGCCTTGAACTGATTAGTATAATTCCCTCTTTAATACAGCTGTCCCTCCAGATTAAGGTAAACCAAATGTTGCAATCAGAGATTAGTGTACCTTGCCAGTTATTAACATCCCCGGGTGCTCAGCGAGCACATCAGACGCTAATGCTGTGTATTTATTTGCTACTTCCCCACTGTAACTTGAACTTCTGCACCTGTCAAAGCATTCCAGTGAAGAGCGGGGCATTATTGGAAAGCAAAAGTTTTATACCTGTACACCTGTTTTGCTTTGTCACAGCTAAGATTTTCTTTCGGCGTGCCAAGACTGCCAGGTGCCTTAATCTGCTATTCTTTTGGTTTTGTAAAGAAAGACTTCTGTGTGCTACATCACATTTGTTACTTTCGTGGGCCCGAGTTTATGCAGCTGGGAGCGGCTCACCTAAACTTGTGTGTGTATTTTCTCTTACAAGGTGGCAGCTAGTAGGGTTGAGGTTTCTGGCCTGGAGAAACCACGTCTATGTCCCCTGAGTCCTCCAGCCTAAGCTGTGTCTTTGTCACAAGGTGGGTCTCCCAACTGTAATGTATTTGGCAGGATATCCTGCTTCTCGAAACTCAGATGTCAAGAAAGACAAAGTCCTGGCTATCTCAGGAAGATCTGGCTCTGTTGCTTTCCCTCCCCAGCCGCCTCCACCCAGGTCACCCTTGGACTATATAGGTCCAGGCCAATGCAATGAGCCTACTGGAGAAGCCAGGCAGCTTAACTGGGTTGGTTGTCTTAGAGCCCGCTGTAAACTAATGCTCCAGATCCCCCAGACCTGCCTCTGTGGAAGGTGTGCCAACCGCAAAGGAAAAACAGTGGAAAGTTTGAGGAAGAGATTTCATATTTGCGGAATGAAATAAATTTTGATTTTTATAATTAGCATCTTCTCCTATTCAGAGACAAAAAGCAAAAACAAAAAAAAAATACCTTCTGTGAAAATGCTATGTTTGCTAAGTAACCACAAGACTCACACCGGGATCTGCTTTTTCACTCCGTGTCGGTTGAAACGTGAAAGCATTTACTAGGACTTACCAGAGATGCATCAGATGCCAGCAGTGGTGGGGCCACTGTGGCCTCTTCCTCCGAGGAAGAAACCTGGTGCAGGAGGTATGCGATGCTAGAGGGCCTTCCTTTGCTTGGCCACCTTGCCCGCTCCATCGCGGTATTTGCACACTGATTGCCTGGTGCACTTTCTACATATTATAGCTTAATTGCAGATTTTTTGAAAAGACAAAAATATGTTCGTATCTCAGGAATTATGTCTTGCAGCCTACTAAATATGCTAATGCAGCACTAAGCAGGGATAAAGTTCTTGCCATACCCCCCAACAGTTGTGTGGAGCCTGCTGCCAAGCGATTGTTAATTGTGAAGCACAAGGCAGGCTTTGCAATCCATCTTAATTGTCATACTTACTCCAGGTTTCGTGATAAGGCTCGATGTTCTGTTTAAAGTGACAATGTTGACAAGAGGAAAGGGTGTGGGCTTGAGCCTGTGGTTCTGAAGGGGTTGTGTGCTCTGACCTGCCGAAGGTTGATATGGACAGTCTGTGAGGGGATTTTAGTTGTCATGGGGTCCCCAGGCAGTTGAATGGAGGGACTGTCTGTCCTGCTTTTTCCTGTTAGGATCCTGACACGTGGAGCATTGATGAACTCAGCACAACGTTGAATGGGAGCTTTTTGGCAGCTGAGACACTGGGGCTAAGCTGCAGGTCAGAGATAAACCAGTGCGGATCTCCTCCTGCACGCGGCTCCTAGCGCGCGGTCTTCCCTCCTGAGTGCAGGAAACGGCTCACGCTAAGCACATTCACTTTTCTGTTTTCCTTTCTGCTAAAATGGAGCTTGACAGATTGGACTTTTCAGCTCCCCCGCTTTTTTCACCACCTCGGCCTTCTACCTTAGAAATTCTCTTCAGGAGGCAAGAGTTCATCTTGGGGAGGAAGCAGTAGGGTGTTGTTTGACTTTCAGGGATACAAGAAGGCTATGGCTGCCTGGTTGCTGGACATAAACTTAGCAGCTGGCTACCTTTGAGACTTCCTGTAGCATTGCCCTTCACATCTCTTCAGAACATACCAGAAGGATGATCTAGGGCAGAGTCTATCGTCCACATGAATGTAGGCAAACACCATGTAACAGTAGGCCACACAAGAGAAAAGAGAGATCAGATTTGGGAGGTCATACTGATTTTTCAAGATTATTTTCTCCAACAAGCATGTGACTCTGTACCCACAGGGTGCACTGCTGTCCACTCCAAACTTTGGTGTTGTTTTATACGCAGTTGGGTTTTGCATGTTTCTGAGATGTGGAGAACAAAGAGGGACTGCCAGGAAAGAGTTACTCTGAAATCTTTGGTGGACATCTCGTGTAGAAAGAACTCCATCTAGTTCTTGTATCTGCCCTATGCTTGGTCAGTCAAAGCTCTACTTAAAAAGAACATTTGAAATAGATCCTGATGTGGTATTAATTCCTGACTATGAAACCACTGTCAAACCAAGGCAAATTTCGAATCAGAGGGCATGCATGTGCCTGACTTCAGTGAGACAGGATTACTTCCTTTTCTCTAAGCTGAATTTGCAATGCCCTTTGAAGTAAAAGCGTGTGTGTGTGTGTGTGTGTGTGTGTGTGTGTGTGTGTGTGTGTGTGTGTGTGAACATCATTGTAAGTAAAGGTGACAGGAAGGGGAAAAAGAGATAGAAAATAAAAGGTTGTGGGTGGAATTGAGAGTAACAGTACTGTCCCAGGGCTAACACCTTGGAACAAGTTGGTAATTTTGCCCTTTGATCTCTGCCACCTCTCACCAACTTTGTGTATTCTCTGCTACCTCTCACCAACTTTGTGCATTCTTTTGGTCTCATGGGGAAAGAGGAAGAGAGAGAGGGAGGGGTGAGAGAGAAAGAGGGAGGGGGAGAGAAATGAACGAATGCACCAAATACATTGAGTTGGTAATGATTCATGTTTAGAACACTATCAGAATTTGCCCTGATGCAAGCCAGAGATGCTGGGCTTCCAGCCCTCCTGCTGCATCCACACGAGGTTCTCTTCATCCTCTCTGAGTGACTGGAAGTTTGATATCCTTGAACTTAGTATGCATACTCTTCTGGCACCATTGAAGGGGAGGGGGTCCTATTGTTTTCCAGCTTTGCTTAACTGTCACCTCGAGGACAATGGCTAGAACAGGACAGTATTGGGAACCCAAAGAAATAGAAATGGCTGTAAAGTGTGATGTTCAGTAGTCAGCACGGGGCAGACACTATTTTCAGCGTTTCTGGTTTGCAGAATGAAGCAGGGTTCATTCACTTCTTGTTAAACAAGCCCTTTGGTTGTGCTTTTTAGTTGTAAATCTGCATAAGGAGGTGGTTGAGCTTGGTAGGAGGTCCTGTCTTAAGTGGAAGATGGGATTGTTTGTATTTTTCTATCAGTGTGAAAGTATGACTATAGGAATTGGCTCCAAATATTCTAATCCTAGATATGTGTATCTGCAAGCCACTGTCATGAGTTCCAAGGGAGACAGTCTGTACTATGTGATTTGAATAACCTAAAATCTCTCTCCTGAATTAACAGTGGCATGCACTAACACACCCAATATTTCCACTAGTACAGCAATTCCTTGAACTAAAATCATGTTTTTCTGATGTTCCTTTTGTGTTGCAATTCTGATATCTGACAGGGACCATATTGGACACTGTGGATAATGATGATTTCTTATTTACTAACAAGAGAGAGGAGAACTATGTCTGCCAGCTAGTTGGTATATTACAATTGTATATTATATATTATGTATATCAGGTATATTGCAGTTTTTTGACTAGGTTAAGTCTCCCAAATAGTGTGAACTTGTCAAGATGTATAGATATCAGAGAAGCTTCCAGTCAGCCTTGAGGAACAACCAGAGCTGAAGATGTTTTTTTTTTCAACAGCACCTTTCATTTTTGACCACTTTACCATCACCTGCAATAGGAACAGCTTGTGCACAAGTTGCCTGTCACAGTCCAGCCTCCCCATTCTCTTTGTCTCCATGTCTTCCTCTCTTGCTGGCTTTGACTATCACACTGTTACTAAGGTCAATACGGAGCATGTGGGCGCAAGTAATCCTTCTCTTCCAGCCTCCTTCAGTTGGGACAACAAGTGTATCCTCAAACTTGGCTTCACTAAATGGATGCTGTCTTCTGGGGAAGAAGCGTTCTTCTCCCCTAGCTCACGTTCTCCCTTTTTCATTTCTGACTGCCATGTAAGTGTTGCTGCTTTCAGCAGTGGCCTGATCATCTGGGGGTTTGTGTCCGTGCTGTTTGTGTGAGCCCTGTCATTGCTGTTATGAGTAAGACTGACTCCCTGTGTGTTTGAGTATATACCTATTTATGTGGGCATATGAATATCTGCATCTGAAATGTGAAACAAACCTGCTGTGTATTTATGGGATGTTCCTGTAAATGGTTATTAGAGCCTTGTGTTTGTGCTTCCATCTCATCCTTTATCTTTGCTCCATCTAACCCTTGATGTTCTCTTTTTTTCTTTTTTAAAGACAATTTATTTTTATATTTTTGTGCAAGTGTGCTTTTGTGAAAGTGTTACTGGCCTCTACATGCATTCCTGTTGCATGTAGAGGCCAGTAGAGGGCATCATATCTGGAGTTACAACTGGTTGTGAAGTACCACATGGGTGCTGGGAACTGAGCTGGGTCCTCAGCAATAGCAACAAGTGCTCTTAACTGCTGAGCTGTCTCATACCCCATTATCTCATTCTTTTTCATGACTTGAAGATGTATATTGTTTTTTTTATGATTGCTCCAGTTTTGCATCCATACTGTGTAATATTTGGACATACAGAAAATATGGGCAAGAGTAAAGTCACCTATAATCTCATTGTTGAGAGATGAACATTGCTATATTTTGATTGTTTCTTTTAATCTTCTGGTTTATTGTTTCATGTACCAAAATGCATGTATTGCTTTACAATTTTTAAAAATGTTTCTGCTCTTATGTATTGTCTTCAAGCTCTACTCATTTCTCTTTCTCTCTTTAAAGATTTATTTATTTAAGCTTATGTGTAAATGTATGTGCCTGAGTTTATGGAAGTGATCATGTGCTTACAGGTGTCCACAGAAGTCAGAAGTATCAGATCCTCTGGAACCGGAGTTACAGATGATTCTGGGTCACCATATGGGAGATGGGAATCAAACCCAGATCCTCCGGAAGAGTAGTCAGTGCTCTTATCTGTTGAGCTATCTCTCCAGCCCCAAGATTTTTTCCTTTGGTTGTTTGCTTTTCTTGAGACAGGGTCTCACTATGTAGTTCCAGCTTTCCTGGACCTTACTGTGTTACCAGGCCTGTCTCAAATTCATGGAGAACCACTTGCCTCTGCCTCCCGAGTTCTGGAATTAAAGGTGTATGCCACCATGCCCAACTTTCTACTGGTTTCTGGTTTCTTTTACATTGATGGGCCCATGTGGGACCTACATAACACACCTGGATACCATGAGCAGGATCCAGTTTGTGTTAGAGAGAGGTTTTCTCACAGCATTTGCATGCTGTTTTGGTCTTCTTGATACGTATTTTCCTGCTGTGAATCAGTGATTTAATTTTTGATCTTTGTTAATCCTTCTTTCTAGTTCAAAATAAATTACCTAAAATCAATAAGGCTTTAAAGTAGCATGAACCAATAGGCTGATAACTTTGATTCTTAGGTGAAAAAGTATAACTCTTTTATTGGCTTTCTGCAAGAGGAGGAAGTTGGGGCCAACTACACGGTTGATGCTACTCTGTGCATGAAGGAACCTACTTTTGGCAGCTAGTGAATAGGTTTCAGTATTTTAAGAAAAAGTGGCTCATTCTTTTCACACTTAGTTGATTTAATCCCCTTCTACATGACAGACACTGTTGTAGTCATAGAGATAGGACAGCAAATAAAACAGATCAAAATATGCCTTTGTGATAGTTTACTACTTAGAAGTAAACTAGTTGAATCTTTAAACTTCCTTATCCATTTTCCTCTTAAGAATGAATTGCACCCCATCATCTAAATTCAGAATCAGTTTTGGATCATGTAGGGAAAGGTTCATTATTACAGAATTATTCTGCTATCTGTCTCTCTTTTCAAAGACCTCTTCTGCTCATTATTCTCCCCTGTTCCAATTTTCAGTAGGTAAAAAGACAAACATAAGTAGTGGCCCAAACCACTTTTAAAGAATAAAAATAAATACCTTGATTTTAATGCATGTTATTTCTTGAAGAGGAGGGTGGGAATACAGGAGAAGCAAGAGCATACATGCTTTTCCAACCTTGTTCAAGAGCAAATAATGAATGCAAAAGTGTGATGGTTTTTTTTTCTTATTTTCAAATAAAGGTGAATAGTTGTTGACTTGCAATGATGGCATTGCCACTTGTGTTCAGTAATGGAGAAGTATAAATAGCAAAAGAGAAAGATAAAAAGAGAAAGACAAAGTCCAAAAGACCAAACAGGTACTGAATTCATGCACGCAGTCCATGAGGTTCTAGATATGAATTTATGAAAGGCAGTGAAGCATGGAGAAATTAAGAAACAGGATTTCATGGTTATCTTGGTGGTTTCCTCACCCATTTCTTTCTGATTGAGTATACTTCAGTTTCTCAATCAGACAGCCAGAGAGACGAACTTTCTGCATAGAATTGGACGGTTTGTTTTTAAAATCATAATTCAGGATATCTCACCGGTTGAGACAGAGATATTGAGAATTTAAAGGGTGCTGCACCAGAAATTAGCCTGGGTTTTGTGTTGCTGTGTAAGAATGAAGGCTTTGTTAGTCTCTTTAGAAGTTGATGAGAAAAGTATGTGCTATAACTGAACCGAGAAAAGATGAGTGAGTCAATGAGACAAGGACTCCTGCAGCTAAATAGCTCAGTCTGTAGACTAGAGTGGAGCTGCTGACTAGAGTCTGAAGATGCAGCCTGTCAGCTCAGGGAGACCACCAAATTATTTACAAATGGTGAAACATTCAGGAGAGCAAAGGGAAGGGAAGAGAGTGTAGGTAGGCGAGGTAGAGAGAGTGCAAATGAACAGAGAGAGCTGTGATGAATTATAGATGGTGTAATTGTGCTGGACTTTGAATATTAGTTCATTACTGGTGAAAACGCTATTCTTTAGGTAGGATGGTATAAATTACATTTATAATTACTTTGGTATGTGATTACCTAGGAACAAGGAATATAATAAAATCATGTTTATGGAGATGATAGAAAATCCTATTTAGAAAAAAAATCCTATTTAGCATAGGTGTTTTTGTGAACAAAGATGTCCAGGCTTCAGATTAACATAGCCTTGGTGTTTCTGGGATTATACCTGCCTGCAACCCCACTTGACCAAACATGTGCTCTGTCACAAGTTTGTCTTCTAATCTAGTTATTATTCTTTTTAGCATTTGGTGCTTAATTTTGAAAAAGGTAAGATATGATCACTTTCAATTTAGTTTCATATCCATATACTTTCACTGTATTATCTCCACAAAACTCTGTCCCTGTGATATCTCAAAGTCAGCAAATGCCTATGTGCTCTATAAGGTTTCCTTTCCTATGCGAAATGAGATTCTACATTACTCACAAACTATCGATGCTTATTATTAACTGTGGTTATGAGAAATATATACATTTAGAAATAGAGTCTCACTATTCAGCCCTGGGGTTACTATATAGACCAGATCATCCAAATCACAGAAGTCTCCTCTGCCTCAAAGGATTAAAGATATAAGCACCTACATCTTACAAGAAAACTATTGACATAAAAGAAGCAGAGATAAGGTCTTTATGTTTAAAGGAGATGTACAGAATGCCCTGCATTGTGGCCCACACCCACACCTTGTACAAGAAATGTTAATTGGTGTTGATGAACACATGTCACCAGTAGGGACATCCTGCCTTACTCTGGTCTTCAGAGGCTCCCAAATTCTTGTGAGCTAGGATGATTCCTTGCTGCTGTAATTCCTTCTGTTCACAGCAAGTGAAGAGGTTTTTGTTTTTGTTTTTCTTTTGAAGACATTTTTCTTTTTAATAGAAGTCTCCCTAGTGACTTCAGCAGGACAATTCATCACTTATATTAATTGCTCAAGAATTTAATTCAGAAAAACTTATAAATGGGCAATAATTTATATGTAGCCACATATACATACATGTCTCTCTATGTAGCATGTACATTTACACATACATATGTATATACTATACAAAATGGAATTATAAGGTAGCAAATAAAAATAGTTTACTTCTATCTTAAGGGGATTCAATGTAGTTAGGTGGAAGATGTAAAAATGTTTTTAAAAATTGGTTGCCTTATGTTCAGCATTTATTCATCAGTAAAAGTCAATAAAATACCTTCCAAATATAGAGATGAAGAAGGCTTCATTAAATCTTTGGAGGGATTTTGTTTATTTTTCATTTTCAATGGGAGATATGAGCATGCAAAATGTATTACATGTGCAAGGCATGGCATTATCAGGCCGTCCTCAGAGAGCAGAGCCATGCTAGAACAATGGCTGCCACTTTCACAAGCAAGACCAAGAGACTGGCAGAAGAATGAAAGTCCTTGTTTTACTCAAGACCATGGCAACTCTAAGTGTGTTGCCTTCCTGAATCCTGATCACTTTTAAGGCAGCTGCTTTCTCCTGCCTGTTTCCCCACCCCTTTAGGCTGAGGAGGAGAGAACAAATTTTGGTAATTACTCCAGAGTGTCCCATGACAGAGACACTCCTGACTGCGGGAAACACAGATAGAGCCTTTAAGAGAGGAGTGGTCCAAGCTGTTTCCCTTAAAAAGAAGACACTTGAGTGGAGTCTTATTTAAATTCAGGAGACCTAGAGTATGAACTAGAATTCATGATAACAAATGCAAAGAATGGGTATCAGTAAAGGACATCATTCTGAAGAAAAGTTTAACTAGAGAAGACTAGATGAATTGGTTCTTAAGATGGGGCATGGAGTTTATGGGAGTGGAGTTGAGAAATGGGCCATTATCAGAATACTGGGACATAGGAGATAGGAAAGAGCTTGACAGAGCTATGAAATTATTTCCCATGAATCCAAGACCTGCAGAGGGATAAAGTTAAGTGAATTTCTACCTCTTGAGACCTTCTAGTCCCTACAAGTGGCTACATTATCCTTTATGACCCATCATCTTCTCAAGAGTTGAAAAAAAGTTATGACAGCTTTATTACATCATCCTTCCCTTCTCAGTTTAAAATGTCTCCTGACTCTGCCTCAGGGTCCGTTTTCATTTGGTTCTTCAGGGAGCCAACACTGTTGTCATGTCCAGGCACTCCGTGTCTAGCATCTGTGCAGGTTGACCACTGTGTTTAGAATACATTCTAGCCTCTAAGAGCCTCAAATTTCCAGCCCTCCTTTGCTTACTTAATTCATTACGCTTCAGCCTTCTGACTGCTTTTGTCTTTCTCGAGCTCACCTCAGGACATTGGTTTTTTTTTTTTTTTTTTTTTTACCTACTCTCTTTTCTTTTTCTGAGTAGTGCCTCTCTCTACAAAAAAAAAAAAAAAGAACTGAAATGTCCAGTTCTTCCCTGTGCAACTAAACTTAAGTGATGTGTTGTGACTACTTCCTTTTTCCCCTTAAAAAAATTGTGTGTGTGTGTGTGTGTGTGTGTGTGTGTGTGTTCAGCTGTGCATGCATGTATGTGTGCAAGTATATCCATGTGTGGATGGCAGAGGACAGCTTGCTTAGTTTTTTTCTCTTCTTTTCACCATGTAGGTCTATGTCTCAGGGATTAAACTCAGGTTTTCAGCCTTGGCAAAGGGTGTCTTTACCAGCTGAACCTCCATGCTAGCCCTGCCTCCCTTCTGTCATTTCTTAAGAAGCAGGGCGCTGTCTTCATATTTAGAAAAAGTAAAATTTCCCCAATTCAGTGTTTATTTCTTTTCTCCAAATTACATGTTTTTGATAATGCCTTTGAAGTTTAGAACTAGAGGCATCTGTTTGTTTTATTTCTGTCTCCGAATCATCATGAGAATTAAAGCTGGAGGGAGAGATAGATTATCTAGGTCTTATCTGGTGTTGAGAACTCTGTACCAACCAAGTGCTTTGAACATAGTAGGTGCCCAATAAATACTTGTTAAATGAAGATAGATATGAAGAAGAGTGAGTGAGGGTGTGGCAATAGGGAGAAGCTTGTCAAGTAAAC